CCCCTCGTTTACCAGCAGTGATTTGCCTCGCTGCGAAAGTTTCTCCCACCCCCTTGATGCAGCAACAGAAATTACGGGAAGGACCCGGGAGTAATTAGAAGTAACACGACAAAACCATTGGTTTTCCCTGTGCTTTCATCAAAATAACCCAAAGCAACGTCTGGCGATTGTCCGAAGGGCTAAACAGGGGGTTTATATATTTCTAATTTATAGCCCTATGCAAACATCCAGGAATGACCCCATTGCCCATCACCAGCCATTTTGGGGAGGCAACGGGCAATCCGCCCTCCATCACCGGCGGTTTTCTGAGCAGGCTGGACAAACCCCACCAGGAAGGGTGCCGGTGCGGTTGGTCCCGCTTTGGGGCAGAAGGATGGATCAGGTGATGCCCCACGCCACGAGTAACGCTGCCTGGTAGGTCACGTCACCTACCTTCTGTGTCAGTACGGAGAAGATCAGGTGTGGGGACACGGTTGTCCCCTGGGCAGGGGACCCAGCCTGGGGGTGCCGCACCGAAATGGGCTTTCGGGGGCAAATAAAACACAAGGGGTTATGAAAAAGGAAAGCAAGCATCATGGATCAACTCGGTCACATTAAGGACATGGGTCACTCCCCGCCACCTGACCTTGGCTGTGTCTAATTTACCTAACGTGGATGTTGCTTATGATGGCCGAGACCTCGACCGCAGGCTTCAGAAGAGCAGAAAAAGCGAGCTCTTTGGCAAATTGAGTTGAACTCATATAAAATGCTTTGCATGGACTTTAAGGTTAATATCTAGCTTCTAGGAGATGCAAGAGGAGGTGATCCTGAAAGCCAGCAGCGCAAGTCGGGAAGCATTTAAGAAACCCAAGGCTCTCTCCCTAAGCAGATACGGGGTTGCATGGAGCACTGGGTGACTCGCACTGGCTGCAAGTGGCCTGCACCTCATTTCAACACCTCATCTATTTATTCATGGCCTTGCAGCAATGAGCCGAGCTCCCAGCCAGCGGTGGGGATCCCTCTGCCACGGCTCCACCTTCTTCCGCCTCCTTTTTGTATTTATTTTGCAGCTCAGCTGCGTTGTGGTGAGCTCCGAGCACACGGTCACGTACAGCATTTTGCAAGAATACTTCTTGAAAAGCAGGACCCCTTTCCCCTCCAATTTTCTGGCTGGGGCCCGATGACACACGGGCACAAACCACTCGCCTCCAGTGAACCCGCGCGGCTTCCCGGGCCAACGCACGCATTTCAGTTAGTCAAAAATTAATTTGTTTGAGCTAGAGAAGGGTTTTCCAGAGGAGACTTCTTAGAAAAACTGAGTTTTTTTGGGTTTTTTTTTGTTAGCAGGTTGAATGGAGTAAAAGGCAGAAGTGGTTGGCGAGCCTTCGGCGCTGCCGCACGCTGTAGCGTTGGGTGCAATGGATGTGATAAACGGGGAGTCCTTCCACAGAGACCCAGGTCCAGCTGAGGTAGGACACAAACAGACGGCAAATCCCCTTGGGACAGCGGCAAGGCAGCAGGGGAGCGGGCAGCTGCGGAGGCAGAGCCAGGAGAGGGGCCCAGTCCCTCACCCGTGGACCTCCAAACCCTTTGCACCCCTCCCACGCGATGGGGAGAGGGACCAACCCCAAGCGGAGCCGCAGCACCGCGCAGGATCCGACCTGGCACCAGGAGCATGGGCTGAGCCATCCCCACAGAGGGAAGGATCCGTCCCTCCGCTACGTTTCCCAGCAGACACCATTGGGGATATCCCCCCCCCCCCTTATCTTCCTTTTCTTCCGTCCTAAACAGAAGGAAGGTCTCTCCCAGACCACCACCAGTGATAGCGCGTACCCACAAAGAGATGGGGAAATGTCAAGCTTTAAACATTTATTTACTCAGATGATGCATTTTATAGCATACAGTGGGTCTGGATGTTCTATAAACAAAGACTGAATTGCCACAAAGAGTTATTAGCTCCCTTGTTTTAACAGTCTCTGAAATGCTGAAACGATGGGTTTGTGTTTTCTCTAGTATGAATATCTAGTCTTTATTCTCCCCAAAACCTTTTTCCTTTTTTTTTTTTATTTTTTAAAATTTTTTTTAAAGCGCTTAGTTTAACAAATATGATTAAATTAAAAATGTCGCTTTTTCAAATGCAAATAAATACATTAAAAAAAAAAAAAAAGAATTGCTAGCATTAACTCCGTGTTCTGCAGGACACCGCAGCTCCCTTGGCTATCGACAGTGGACTTCGCAACCCTTAGTGTCGTTTCTCCTGGAAAAATACTGAAAGTATCTCCGGACTGGCTAATAGCTAACACCAAGAAGAGCAAAATTAGTGTAAAGCCATAAAATACCCAGCGGGGCAATTAAAAAAAAAAAAAAAAATCATGTTTAAGATTTTGAGAGACTTCCAAGTGAGGGATGTTATAAAAATAAGCATGAAAATAAATCATAAGTTATTCTGACAAGTTTTCCTTCAAAGCCATCAGTCATGCCAAGAATAGATACTAATTAATCTCCTTCGGGGGAAGAAGGGAACCAAGCAAATCACTCACTTCTCCTTTTTTTCCCCCATTTTCATTTCACCTCCGTATACACGAGACTTCTCCAAGCAGGGGTGAAATCCCTCATGGGGAAACGGAGCAAATCACTTGGCGGGTAGCAAAAATCTTCAGTTTGGAAATACTTTCACCGGGAATGAGGTGAATTAGGTGCTGGGGAGTCTGGCAGGGAGCAGGCAAACCTGCTCTGCATCCGAAGGGGGACCGGCACGGCAGCGGCGCAGAGCACTGCTCCTCCGCAGGTGCTCCGGCCGCTCGCCTTTACACCAGCCCGAGGTTTGGCCCCACACATATTTGGCCCGAGGAGGTTATTTTCCCCTTTGCTGACGCAGTCGTATGGGGAAAAATATATTAAAACCCCATGCGGATACTTTTATTGAGCGGCGAAGAGCGAATCTGGCTCATCTGGGGAGACGTAGCCGGTGGCTTGACACCTTCAAAAATACACATTGTAGAATTACCCTCTTTGGCGACCGTGTCTAAAGCAAGCCAAAAAAAAGAGAAGAAAATACTCGATGACATCCCGAGGTGCTCTCACCAGGGATCCCAAAAACTTCCCAGCGCTGCTCCCCATCCTGCCCCGTCAAATGACCTCGCGGTACCTCTTTTCCCAAGACAGTACCATGGTTAATGATGCCATGTGCCCGCCGGCTTCCTTCTGATGGACTTCAGAAAGATACCATTGGCAGCGCGTAATTTTGGGGGAACCCCCCCCACTTTTGGTCAACATTTTGATTCTCACGTCTCAACGGAGCGACTGACGTACCAAAGCGGTTAATGGCTGGACGAACGTACGTTAACAGCGGAGATAAATGGCAAGACATTAAAAAACCGACGGATTTCACATAAAAGTTCTTCGGTGGGAGAAATCCTGGTGTTGGAGGGGAAAGTCACGGGCCAAGCCTGGTCAGTGGGGGCTGCAGGATTGCACCCCAATGGGAAAACTGAATAAACCCTCATGGCTGGTAGGGGTAGGGAAATGCTTAAGCAGAAATTCTGCCATGTGGCTTACACTTCGCCTCTGAATGCCTCCTGATGCGCTGATGGGTGAAAATTCAGGTTTTTAGAAGCAAAATCTCCAATTCTCCAGGTTTTTTCTTTTTTTTTTTTCCTTCTTTCACTACGTCCCGAGAGCAAATTCCGGGGGAAGGGAGAAGCTGCAGGGGCCGCAGCGGTGGTCTGGATCGCTGCCGGCAGGATCCCTGGCACCCCGACCCATCAGGCTGTGCCCCCGTTGTAAGACATTTCTGTTCTTTCAGGGGGAGGGGGAAAACAAAAAAAATCGAGACAAAACTGGTTTTCAGGTCTTCTCCCAGAAGACTGATGCCGTGCCTGGGCACGCTGCGATGGGTGTCAAATCCCCTTCTCCTCCGCTCCCCGAGAAACCAGGCAGCAGGAAAAGCCAAGAGCAACGGGCGCAACCCTGAGCCTTATAATACTGATGGGCTTTGCCGCCTTACGTTCAGCGGCTTTGCCGCCTTAATCAAGTTCAGCTGCTCCTTAATACTATCAAACCCCATTGCTACTAACGGAGCTGACCCAACGCAAGGCGCCGTCGCCACGGGAAGCTCCCGGGCTCGCATCCACGAAGCAGAAATTAATTTTTCCAGACCAAAAGTCCAGCGCGTCCAGCAATAATTTTGCTGCTTTCTGGGTAGACAAGAAAATTGAACCTCCTGTTTCCAGCTCGCTCCTCTTGCTCCGTGTGTGGATTAGAAACCGTATCAGCAGACAACCAGATGAAAATTCGAATAATATTGAACCGCAGCATCAGGACTCTCATCTCCTGCAACGCATTCTCTGCTGAAAATTTCTGCCCTTAAAATTTTGCAGCAAAAGCTTCCTCCCCATTGCGGACAGACCGACACATTCATAAGGCACCCGAGAACATACTGCACATCCAAAGAGGTTGGGGTGAAATCTCTCTTCTCTACAAGCCACCAGAAATTCAACATTTTGCTTGGAAAAATGGGTTTGAGCTGCTGAGTTCAAACCCAGCCTGCCTGGTCTGGGGTCCGTGTGTGCCGGCGCCGCGGCACAAATTCTCTTCTTATCACTGGGAAAGGAAAGTAAATTGAGTAACGGGAAGAAAATGGGACGGGCTGCCGGCATCGTGCCTTCCTTGGCTCCTCTTCCACTGTGCAGATGGGACGGGGCAGCTCGCACCCCCATTAGGCTTCACTGAAACAAGCACCAGAAGTGATTTAGTAGGTAAAAGCATCACTAGACAAGACAATAAGGAGACCACCAAGTCTTGTTCATGATTCCGGGAGCGAAGCAACAGCGTGGCGCGTCCCTCCGTACCAGCCTCCTCGCCCTCCGGGCATTTCCTCGCCCAGGCGGCATGTCGTCATCACCAACCCCCCCCCCCCCCACCCCCCCCCTCCCTCGGGATGCTGCGCCAAATCGGGATGCTCCGGCACGGAGCAACCCGGGGATCCTGGAGCAACCCGGGGATCCCCGAGCAAACTCTCCCCCTCCGAACACATCACCCATCCCTCGAGGACACGGTGCCACTTACACAAACCATGGGACAGAGCCGCTCCTGTACACCGCACACCTAGAAACACTGGATAGCAAATTCAGCTAGTTAGAAGCCAGGCTCAAAACCTCTATTTTTGGCTTTTCCTATTTTTTCCTCTTCTTTTTTCCTCCTTTTTGCCATACATTGCTTGTCTTCTCTTTACCAGTCTCCAAAGAAGAACATCAAACCTTCATTTCTCCCTCGCCCTGTACATTATTAGGCCCGACTATAACAGGCCTGGATTTAAATGTATAATTACAACCATGACAGTAATTACAATAAAGCACTCCTTCAATGGAAACAAAAAAAATTCTTACAAAAAAAATAAAGGGGTTATAGTGGCTGAGGGATAAACGGTGACTTGAACAGCAAGAGCCACAGAATCCCCTGTTTCTCAGAGCTCCCAGCTCAGAGGACACGTTTCTCAATCCATCGAGGAGGTCGCTGGCAAGACGATGGTGGCTATGTTACTTCTGCAGTGGCTTTTGGACTCCTTTAAAATACTCCTTCCGCTTCAGCATCTTCACGTAAACCATTAGTCAGCTCGCGGGAAGGCGTTGCTTTCCCCGCCTCCGAGCTGCCCGCAATTGTCCGTTCAACGATACAATAAAATAAGAAGAAAATACAAACGCCCGAGAAAAAGAAAACCCAGTGCAAATAAGAAAGTCGTCCCGCTCTCCGATCTGCTCTCGAAGGGGTGGCGAGTAGGGGGACACACACAGAAAGTTGAAGACAAGAGGGAAGGGGGGGGGAACCTAACGCAAGCCCCGCTCGACAAAAGCCATCAATTATGAGCGTCTGGTGTAGTGTGTGTCTGGCTTTGTCCTCCCGAGACATCTGCTGCCTGCTGTCTCCTGCCAGTTGGCCGGGGCAAGGCAGGAGGACGGCGTAAAAACAATACTAGCCCCCACTTGGATTTGTGTTGGTTTTTTTCTTTCCCCCCAAATTCTCCGTCTTCTTTCGAAAGCCAAACAATAACCCGGCGGGATGCGTTGCTGCTGCTTGAGCAATGAGTTCAGAAAAAGAAACAAAACCACGGCGGGGAAGAGGGGGGGCACTCGGCGACGCGGCTGAAAAAGAAACATGCTTCTCCCTCCCCACCCCACGAACGTATTCTCGAGCATGCTGGGGTTTTGGTCTGCTGGGGGATTTGAATCGGAAAAGCTCTCGCCGGATCCCGTCAAGGTGCATGTCTTCTTCTCGTCCCTTCCCACCCCACCTTGCCCTGCCCCTCAAGCCGTCAGTTTTTGGATGGTCTTGTTGTAGTACTGCGTGATGGTGGGCGTCAGGGGGTTCCAGTTGTTGGCGTGCAGCTCGATGACCTCCAGCAGCAGGGACCGCGTCAGCATGGACTCGGAAGGACACAGCATCTTGTCGCGTGCTATCGCCAACAGCTCCGTCATCATCTCGGGCAGCTGCTCCTCCAGCAGCCGGCCGGTGCTCTGCAGCTGTCAGGAGAAGAAGAGGTCAACCATGGCATATTGATCCTTAGGGGTCCCTTCCAGCTTGAGATATTCTATGTTTCTATGATTCTGACATTAAAACACCGTGCTGGCTTTCGTAGACGCCCTCCACCCCTCCAGTCCTCCCCTGCTCGATGCGGCGGGGCGGGCAGGCAAGGTTAAAGGCGTCGTGGCTTTTGAAAACCAAAACCACCCGGCAGCAGGCTCCCAAGAGCCGACCATGAAGGGCGAGGTTCTCAAAAGCATGCGCACCGGGCTGCCGGAGGAGCGAATGGTTCAGCTCTCGCTGACTTCAAAGGCGGCAACGCCAGATTGCTTTTGGGGAAAAAAAAAAAAAAAAAAAAAAAAATTCCCACCTAAAAATCACGCTATTGTCAAAACAAAGTGCAGGCTGTGATGTGGTATTCCTGCCTTCTACCCGGCCCTTCATTTACTCGCTGATTCACAGCTGTCAGTGACTCCCAGTCATTAATCGGAATAAGCAGAGCCCTCCTGTATGCATAACAAATCCTGCCCTGCCGAGATCTGCATTTATACCCAGCCTGCCGCTTCTCTGAGAACAGCCAAGGGTTTTTTAAAACAATTACTCCTTGGAGAGCCTCCATGGAGCAGCATAAGCCCTAGATGGTCCCACAGTGGAGAAGGTCCAAGCTTGGAGTGGACAGCAATGAGCCCACCACCACGGAAGGCTCGTGGGGCTCGAACGCAGAGCTCCCCCGAGTCCTAACCTGAAAAATGCAAGCTCTCCTCCTCGGCTGCCTGTCGCTTTGCTGAATTTCAACCATTCAGGCGGCAATTTCAACCGCTCTCTGCAAGGAAAGCATCCATCGCCACGGGCCAATCACTTCCCAAGAGCGAAGTTAACAAAACTCTGCTACACTTGTACCAGCATTTCTCTGCAAAGCTGCTGCTGAGCACAGCAAACCTCTCTGTGTGAGCCACGGGGCAGCTTTTGCTCCAATACAGGTGTTTTTGCGCTTAAAAAATAAATGCAGGGTGAGATTTGAAGGAACCAGGGTGATATAATTTTGTGATGGGACCCCAGCTACCAAGCTTTTTGCACCCATTTTACATGCATCAAAAGTCCAGTGATTAAGAGTCTTAAGGGCCATCTCTCATCTCACAGTGATGTCTTTTATTTACTCCGCTCTGGTGAGACCCCCCCTGGAGCACTGCGTCCAGCTCTGGGGTCCTCAGCATAAGAAAGACATGGACCTGCTGGAGCGGGTCCAGAGGAGGGTCACAAAAATGATCAGGGGGATGGTACTCCTCTGCTATGAGGACAGGCTGAGAGAGTTGGGGTTGTTCAGCCTGGAGAAGAGAAGGCTCCGGGGAGACCTTATTGCAGCCTGTCAGTGCTTAAAGGGGGCTTAGAAGAAAGATGGGGACAGACTTTTTAGCAGGGCCTGTTGCGACAGGACAAGGGGGAATGGCTTTAAACTAAAAGAGGGGAGATTTAGACTAGATAGAAGGAAGAAATGTTTTACGCTGAGGGTGGTGAAACACTGGCACAGGTTGCCCAGAGAGGTGGTGGATGCCCCATCCCTGGAAACATTCCAGGTCAGGCTGGACGGGGCTCTGAGCGACCTGATCTAGTTGAAGATGTCCCTGCCCACGGCAGGGGGGGGGTTGGACTAGATGACCTTTGAAGATCCCCTCCAACCCAAACCATTCGATAATGCAAAGAGGCAACCCGGCTGTTTGGGTTTGGAAACATCTAATAGGTGCTTGGCACGTGCACAGCCAAGGACACAAGGGGCAAAGCAGTGAGGACCGGGGCGGGTGGTGCAGGTGCTTCCCTACCTCCATGGAGCAGCAAAGCACAGCGTCTTCCTTCACATCCTGAGATTGCAACAACTGCAAAAGAGAGAAGACACAGGCGGTGAGAAATGCCTGCCCTCTTCCTCCCTTACGACCTTTCTTCCATCTCTTCGTCCAACTTGGCTTTTGCCACCTCCAGGAGGGAAGGACAGAAAATCAGGACAGGAGGAAAGTGATTATCAAAACAAAAAATTAAGATAAACAGTGACAAAACACGGAGTGAAGGGTATCACCAGTGTATCGACTGCTGAGAGCCAGCAAGCGGGGCAGAATATAGATAATTTAGATTAACAGCTTTCAGAATAAATTTTATTTAGCTTACATTGCTTTTTTTATCCCACGGCAGGCAATGAGAAAATGCACTCGTTTCACATACATGGCGACTAAATACAACCGTCAGGTGACAACACTCAAGCAGCACGGCCCTGGGAGCGGCTGTTTGGAAGGGAAGGGCTCTGCCCGAGAGGCAGCCACCTACCACCGAACCTCTCGGTCCCCGTGGGGACGCTCTTCTCACAGCCACAAAATTACCTGATGGGAACGCATTACTTCCAATACGCCGTAATTAATACGGCTCCTTCTAGACTGATTATACAGTGGTGCAAGTGCAATGGGTTGCAGCGAAACTATGGTGTCCTAGCTGCACCAACCCCAACCCTGCTCTGCTCTCCATGAACTTTGTATTACAAACACGAGCTTGTAAGCACGAGCAACTTTCAAGAGAGACCCAAAACGTTGCTGTGCATGGCATGGGATGGTGAAGGAAGATGCTCGCCCCTCTCGGTTCAGACTCGGGGCATGCGGTGAGGGTCAACGGCTCTACCTGGCAATGGCAAAGCGTAGGAGCTCAGCACGTCTCACCCCACAAACCTTGAAACCACGAGCAAGGACCCTCGAAACCGGATCAAAAATACACATTTTTCTTTGTTCTCATCTTTATGACTTTGTCACGCACACAAAGACATCGTTTCAGGCTTTTTGCTAAAACCACAAGAGAAAACACAGTTTTCTGGTTGTTTTTCAAGCAGATAAAAACCACTCAGATTCTCAATCAGCCAACAAAGTGAGCTGGAGTGTTATCAAACCATGAGGCGGCTGATAAAATCACCGGTGCTGGCAACACTTGAAGCTATGGCCGCTTCCACTCCATCACCTTGGGTTGAACAAGCCTCGCTGGCCCTGAGCTAATCCCTACGTGCAGCGTGGAGCTGAATGCATGCACTAAACACTGAGAAAAAGGAGAAAAATTGGGAAAACTGGCTTTATTAGTATCTGAAATTCATCAGGGAAAGGCAAACTTTGGAAAAGTGGTTGGACTAATTAAAACTGCCCATATAAAAATTGCTCAGCGTAACTAAATGTGCTCCAAAGTCATATCCTTTAGTTCAAATCACAGTTCTGATTCTCAGCCTTATCATCTCTCCTTCCCACTCTCATTTTTTCATGTTTCCTTCACAAATAAATGCCTATTTGTTTACCAGCTCCACAACTGCTGGAAAACAGCTAGGAAAAAAAAGAGGTAATTCAAGGAATTATCATTGCTCTCAAAGTTTTGTCTTCACCCTCTTCTGTTTTCAGCAGACAGCAGTTTGTTTGCTTTGAAGATGATGTTTACAGCATCTCGATGAGCATGCGGTCCATCGGTTTTTATCTCGCATTAGCCAAAGGTTCAGCCAGGGTTTTGAAGACATGCAACAGTCCCGTCCCCAAAAAAACCCCCCCCAGTATTTTTCTGCTGAGTTGTTTGGAAAATGTTAGTTAAGCCCAAGCCGCATGCTCTGAGATAAGTTCTCACAAACAGTTCACAGATTCTTCGCGAAAAAACATGAGATTATTTTAAACCCAACAACAACAAGGAAAAAAAATATCAATTAGGGACAAATATAAACAGGCAGTAGTCCAGAAATTAACTCCTGGCGTATTTAGCTTGTGAACATGGCATGAAGCAGGGCTGCAAATTAAATATATATTCACCTTTCCTATTTTTGCTATTCTTTAGTAAAGAACATTACGTGAAAATTAAAGCAAGAAAACTGGCATTAGGATTGATTAGGAAGGACCTATGGTGGCCCAACTCCAGCCCTTCCTCTGCCGTGGTCTCCTTGATGATCCTGCTCTCTGCCAGGGATACGTGGTCAGGGAAAGGCTGCAACTTCACTTGGGCTTTCCCTGCCCCAGCTTCCTACCTGCAGAGTTGGGACACGCTTCCCTACCTCAAGAGGTGGTTGTGAGGATGAATACGCCACTGTCAAGTGCTCGGATATTTGGCTAATGAGGAATAGTCTTATCTACCTACGATGAAACAGAAACACCTACACCCAGACTTGGGCAGGCACCCTCTACCTTCATGCTGCCCTCCTGGACCTCATCTGGCGTGACCTGGCTGAACAAGGAGAATGCATGTGCTCCATCTTGTCCATCAGGGCACCATGTGCTCCACCTCATCCGCTGAGACACCATGCGCTCCACCTCATCTGCTGAGACACCACGTGCTCCACCTCATCCATCCAAGCACCACGTGCTCCACTGCTCCATCAAGGCACCATGTGCTCCACCTCGTCCATCCAGGCACCATGTGCTCCACTGCTCCATCGAGGCAGTAACAGATATCAGTCCCAAGGGCCACAGTTCAACCTCTGCCTGTGATATGTGGGTTGGGGAGGCCCACAGCCTGCCCACCAAACCCAGGCACGGCCCTGCGCAGCAAAGCAGGGCCCAACAGGCAGATCTGCTGGTGCTCTGGGAACCAGAGTCCAAGTCCATGCCCACAGATGGTTGTCAGCCACCTGCATCAGTGCAACGGTCTGAAGCCAGGAGGGTCAGAACGATGTCACTGTTTCTCTGCATGTTCCTGATCATAACTATGTTTCTAGCACGCTGGAGGGGGGCTCTGGAGCTTCCCTGGGGTGTAGGCACCAGCTGTCTGCTGCTGACCCCTGCATGCTGGGACAGGAGGAGATCAAGGAGCCCAGTTTACTCTCCCTAGCCTGGCATGGGCACTGAACTGCTGCTGAAGGCAGACAGTAAGGGTTGGACTGCAAGGACCGTGCTGCCTAGGGTCCTGCCATCAATGTCCTCACCCACCGATGACATCTTGCATGTATTTCTCAAAGGGTTGCCCCATCCGAACACCAGGCACCCCAAAGCAGCAGGGTGGTTGCTTCAGCAAGAGCACAGTGTTTCCCCAAGCTCTTTGACCCCCACGTCAGCTTTGATGGCACTGCAAGAAAGAATGGTGCAAATGGTTCGAGACCTCCAGGGAAATCACAACCCTGAAGTACCGGCACTTATGTGACCATAAACCTGAACCCAACCAGTTGCATTCGTCATTTGCAATCTAATTCGTATTTACTTAAAATATTTTAACGTAAACATGCTATACCCATTAAATTAGCACTCCCACATTGGAATTATTATTTATTTAACTATTGATAACCGCTCCTCCCTGCTGCGTGCACCTGCCCAAATCCCACCATGGGCACCATCCCATCCCTCTCCACCAGGTTCCCACACGGTTCAAACTGGCTGATGAACATGGACGAGGGAGTCGAAAAAGGAGTGTGAGGGAGACAACAGGGCAGGTGAGCTGAGACTCACACGCTTCTCGGTTTAACCTGTAATCATCCCCCGGAGGCTGGGGCTGTCTGCGAGAAAAACTTCCCTTTGCTCTCCAGCCGGTTTCCCCCGTATCGGGCGAAGCCGGGCAATGAAAGCAGCAGTTCCTGCTGGAAAGCAGACAAAGAGTCTGCTTGATTTCCTAAGAGAGGAGGCTGCGTGCCAGAATCTGCCCGGCCAGTCATATAATACCCAACCTTGGTTGCGAAAGGCTTCTCACTTTTGTTTCTGGTGCTGGACTAGCAGCTTTGCAGACTGGTGGAAGACATCGGGCTCCTCCTCTTCCAAATTTCTGTGTCCTGCTGAGAGATGGAGCACTGGGCAAGGTCCTCTGCGAGGCCAGCGTGGCTGGCTGGGCTCCGGGTGCTAAATATTTTCATAAGCAACCCAAAATGAATTGTAGGGTCTGCTCCTGAGTGCAACCGGTTTCCGTGGCATGCTACTGGGACCAGTCTCCCCTGGCCTCTGTGGCCCCAAAACCTGCTCTTTACGTGTTTGCAGAGGTAAGCATCATAAGCCCCATGGGGTGGGCATGTAACGGCGGGTGAGGGGGGAAAGAAGCCCCAAAACTGCAGCTGTGCTTCATCACGGAGAGAATCGGCTTGGTCCTCCTGAACAGCAATGGATGCGCATGCATGCGACGCAGACCACCAGGAGCAAACCAGAGAGCTAAGTTGATGGAATTCACATACCCACGAATATTTGGGTTTATTATCTGCTTTCTGAGATCATCTGGGCTGCTGAGAAGCTAAAGTGCTTACTTGGTATTCTCAGGGGTGCCCACGCCATAAGCAGGACCGGAGAACCTGCCCCACCGTCCCTTATCACCAAACCGCGCAGGTTTAATTGTGTTCTTCAGCAATTCTCGCTGGGAAATGGAGTGGGAGCAGCCCAACGCATACATTACCCTTTCCAGCTGCAAGGATATTTCTCCTGCGAGGCACAGTACTAATTATTGTGTACGATATCACTTGCAAAATGACATATAAGCAACGCTTGCCACAAACTACCTCTTAGCATGCAGTGTTTTCTGATGCTTTGGTGATGACTCTAGCATGAAAGCACAGAAAGCTTGAAAATATCCACCCAGAGCCACGGAGAGGTTGGGATGTCTTTGAGACCCAGCGAAAGCTGGACTGACCACAGCCCACGCGCCGCTTGCCCCAGCTCCCCGACGGGCATCTCGGGTTCATCCATCCAGGTGGCAACACGCATGGACATCTAGACAGCCTCGGGCACGAAGCTCCAGCCTCGCAACCGCTCTGCGGTCCCTGCCCACAGGTATGCTTCTCATCTAATGCGTAGGTCACGAGGAGGTGCCTGCCGGTATTCCCCCCGGGGAGCGTGGACCACGACCGCAGAGGAACCAACGTGTTGCAAATGCATCATCCAGGTGTAGCAACCAGCTCACTGGTGTAAAA